TTAATCATTCCTGCAAGATGGCAGGATCATCTGGCTTCCAGTGGGTGTTTCCCTGTGCATATGCACACCTATGCCATGGGTTTGGACCTTGGCCTAGGCAGTTTGGGTGGAGGTAGGAGTGGGAAAGTCAAGGCTATGAAGAGGAAACATTCTGGGAAAACCCAACTCTGTTACAAAACCACCCACTGTGCACACATTCTATTGGTGGACAGGGCAGTTCAAATCAACTTTGTTTCAGATTTCTTTTCCTTTCCTAATCACCATTCCTCCAATGTATGTCCCCTGTGAAATCACATCTTAGCTTCAAGCAATAAAACAACTTCATCGTTTGGCTCTGATATTTGGAAAACTTGGAGCCCAAGAATCACCCAAGATACCCTTGCTGGGCTCTGGGAGGCAGGTATCTGAGTGCATTTCCATGTGCACACTTGTTTCTCGAGCACAGCCTAAACCCTAAATGTGACCTGTCTGATGTCCAGCGGGGCATGTTTAGTCCCTCTAAGTCAGGCATGGCAGGTGGGGGAGACAACGAATTCTGAAAGTTGAAGAACATTTTCATGACTTTAGTAATGTTACATCTATTTGGTTTGAAAACTGTTAGATAAATACTGGTTAATAGAATTTAAGAGTGACAAAGAGCATGACTAGAGACCAGCCCATTTTAATAAACACAGAATGACATTCGTTGAGTGCTTCTGTTCAAGTAAGTGTTAATACTTATTCAATGCCCACTGTGTGCCAAGCACTGTTCTGGAAGATTCACTGGTGAGGAAGAGCATCAAGGTCGTCCCTCTTACGGAAGTCGCATTTTAATTTAATGGAGCTCACATTTTATTCACATTTACAGAAGTCTGAACCAGGTCTCTAATGTTTTTAACAATGGATTGCTCACAATACTACTTAAAAATTAATTAAAAGCTCAAACGCCATATCCTTGCCAGTTGCTCAGTGGTTAGAGCGTTGGCGCTCAGACTGAAGGGTCATGGGTTCGACTCCAGACAAGGGCACCTGCCACGGTTGCAGGCTCAATCCTCACTTGAGGGAGGCAACTAATGCAAAAAATATCCTCAACATGAGGATTTGAAAAAAAAAAATGCTCAAACTCCAAGTTGGCCTGCTGAAGTTGTTTTTCTTTTCAAATAAATGACAGAAATTCAAGAAGCCAGTTCAAGCAACATCTGCCATTAAGTAACTTCACACTGAAAACATTCAGAGCAAATTAATTCCTCTAGGTTTGCTTACTCACCTGAAAATGGGGGTAACAGAGAATGCTTGTCAGGGCTACACGTGATGATATGTGTGAAACCACTCTGTATGTTTATTTGAACTTATTTCCTATTAAAATCCTATAATGAGTATTAGAAAAAGTCACCAAAAAATAACATAATTGACCACAAGTGCTTTAAGGCCTGAGTAGACTTGGTATCGCCATGGCGGGTGAGTGGAAGTCAGTGTGTCACTTTGGGGATGAACTGCTTATAGCTGGCAGGATATGCGAGTTCCCTTGCCCTTGCCACTGCGATCTGTAATGATCCCTGGTCTGGCCCTGAGAGTGGCAGACAGGGAGCAGAGCCCTTGGCCGACCTGTAATGCACATGGAGCAGGAGTAAAAATGATCCTTTATGGGTTTAAAATACAGAGGATTCTCAGGTTGTTGTTACTACAGCATGATCTGGCCCTTCCTGACTGATTGGCTTTTTAGGAAGTCATGCCTTTCCTATAATCCAGATTCCATTATCATCTGTAGTCGTAGTTGTTTCATTAAGTTTATTGAAATGATGCCTAATGAATTATGTGTTTATCAATACAGAGGCTACTGAATCATGGCCTAATCCATGAAATATGAAAAGATGCAAAAACCAAAGGTAACACTTCAAGTAGAAAAATAAAAGATCTCCAAACTAGCTAGAGGTGCAGAACTCTATTTACCCAAATCAGACTACAAAATGTTGAAAGAGGTTATAAAAAAAAAAAACACCCTCAAAGCTGCACAGGATAGTTCTAAAAATGCCAAAAGGGTGTGTGGTCCACAGTGTTGTGAAACTACACCCTGAGCCAAAGGTACAGGCTTGCTGCCCTCTGTTGACACAGTACAAGAACCAAAGGAAAGGCCAAGTTGGCTCATCTGTGTTACGTGTGAACCATCCTACAAGTATTTAGCAAACTAAGGCTGCATCTTAGTCTCTGATAGGCCTAAAACATTTGGCCTATCCAAGATGGCAAATGTGTTCCCCTGAATTGGAACAAGTTGGTAAGTTAGATGATTTACCCTGGGTAGACAAAGAAAAACTATTGCATATTGACAAAGTAAGTCAACCCCATGGTGATCATACTTTGTTAGGCTAGAAGTTTTATAATTAATGTGATAATCTGTGCATGTTTATATTTAAGGCTCTTGAAACATTTAACAGAACTTGACACATTAACCTTCTGATCTTCACTTGAAATAATTAATTGTGACTTGAGAATTTAAGTTCACAAACAGTACTTGAAAATTTGGAAACTTTACTATACGTATAAGTTGAATTTATTAGCTTTAAAATTTAGTTAAGTGCCTGCAAAGATTTTGAAAGTTTTAAGTTTTAAGACTGCCTAATTAGGTCCCTTTGAAAGCTTTGGAAGAATCAGCTATAAAAAAAAAAATTGTAAATGTAATTTAAAATGTTTAAGCTTTAAACTCTATGGGGATTTCATTAACCTAGTTTATTAGCCGGGGCTAATTACTTAGGGAAATTTTATTCAGGGCCTTTGAATGTTAACTAAAAGCCCTATAAGGAACCATTAAATAAAACAAAAACAAAAACAAAAAACTCAAATGGAAGAGGTTTGCTCTCCTTTTTCAAAACTGATACTATATTTGTTTCAGTTCTTTTTATTTCAAGACATTTTTAATGTCCTTAAATTCAGCATCAAATTAAAGTCAATATTGAGCCTTTTATTGATACTAGCCTAATAAAAACAATGGGGTGTCAGGGTAGAGGGAGATTGTATCATTAAGATGAGATTACCAGGGTGACCACAGAACACATTCAGAACACTCCAAGGTGTCCCCAAAGAAATGCAAAATCACATCATGGCCAAGAGCTGTTGCTTTCCCTGCATTTCCTCTACCTCTCATTCCAACTTCTATTAAGTCCAGTTATTAAATCATATTGATACCCAGTCTATGAAAAACATGGACAATGTTACATAGCAGGCACTAAAAAATATCTGATTAATTATAAGTAAATCCACTGGTTTTTAAGGTACTAACTATGCTTAAATGCAAAACAATGCCATTTCACTTAGTTTTCTTAACCTCCTATTCATGTATTTGTTACCTCACTTAACTCAATGAAAAAATTATTTCTTTTGGAAGATGTATTAAAGTTGTCCATCTCACCAAATAACAGATAGTGCAGTATTATATATAGTAACTGGATAACCAGTACCTTAAGAAGCCTAAATAGTTTAAAGTTACTCCTGTGGAGCAGAATATACAACTTAGACAAATACTGTTCTTGTAAAATATAATTGGAATCATATAAATAACAATGTGTCCTTAAAAAAAGAAAATAAACAAGCAAAGCAAAATGAATAACAATAAAAATAATCATATTTATATAGTTTCAGATTTTATTTTCATAATTATCTTATCATTGAAGCAATAATCTGCATTTCCATAACAACACATTTAATATCCTACTCATCAAAGAGCTGGAAAAAAATAGGAATAAAGCACAAATACTCTGCATATATACAAATAAATTCAATATATTAAATATATTTTGCAGGCTGGCTGCACTTACACTATAACAGAACATTGAATATTAGGTTCTGAGCATGTTCATGCAGACTTCCACTTTGGTAAAAGTAATGACACGAGTTCTAGAAAACTATTTTTCCTTTTGTAAACACAAGTTTTCCACTCTATCCTCTGAAAATAAAGACTTACATAGGTGGAAAAGCTAAATGCATAAAAGTAGAAGCAATGTTTTTTTACTGGACACCCATATAGAATAACCCTGAAATCCACAAGTCCTTATGGTTCTTAGTTCTTAAATGTGGGCAGGGAGGGTGGTGAGAGGTTGTGCTTATATAAACCTTTTACGTTATTTAAGACTCACTTGCATCGCTGCTACAGAATGCACTGAATCGTTCCTCATTTTACTTAATATGTAAGAAAAGAGTAAAAGTAAACAAAAGTTTCCAAGGCTGTAATGGATAATATGGTCTATAAACAAATGGTGTAAAATATCTTAAACAGACTGCTAATTAGCTCAAATGAGCATTAATATAAGATTCTGGAAGCTTCTCATTGGATCTAAAGGGTACAACAGCAATGATAGGATATTTGAAATATTATCATTAAATTCAACTGCCTAAATATAGTTTTACTGAGGTTGCTCAAAGTTAATCTCCAAACAATTACTGAAAATTAGCTGATACCTGCTAAACTATGCAAGCAACTTAAGGAAACAAAACATCCAACTTATTAGTGTTTTGAATCAGACCTTCAATAAAGATTTCTATCCAAACATCCACCCACCACAAGCACACAAATCAGGAGGTTATACTGTGTAAGCTCTCCCACAGAACCAACCGTGACTAAAACCACTCATGATAATCTACCTTAGTGTTTTCGGAAGTCCAGCAAAACTAAGCAGACTGCACCTGCATCAGCTAGGACTCTATGCAGAGAGAGACAGGGCGTGAATGAAGAGGAAACCACTCTGGGTAGCATCTGCCTGCAGAATGCACACTGCTGGTGTTTGGAGCCCCTTTCAAATTAACAGGTTGGGAGATGGATCTAAGCCACACAGGCTGAAAGAGGAATGCTTCAAAATAACCTTTCAGGAAACATCTATAAAGGATCGAAACATTGGCAGCACAGTACTTTAAATGTAAGTACTTCAAAAACGATTCTCCCATTTCAGATAAATGTTTATGGTATACAACATTTCCCATGTCATGTTACCGTCCTGTTATAACCCTAAGTGAATCAAATTATTTTGGAGAGGAAAAAAAAAAATATATATATATATAAGTTGATAGAAACATTATTTCTTTGTTAGAATCCATAAAAAGGTCCAGGTTAGTTCTCATTTAGTCAAGAATCAAGTGGGTTTGGAGACAGTCACTACGTAGATTTTTTGATGGGACAAATACCCATATTTCACAGAGAACTGAAGACATTTACAGAATTACTTTCATGTGCTACTTTAGGAACTTTTGAATTTACATAGAAGATTTTAAATGCATCCTTTATTGGACTAAATAATATTGTAAAGATCAAAATAGCTTCCTGTTCCAATCTCTCATCTTAATAATTTAAATGTAGCTAATATTACGAGGGATAAATTTCCTTTGCAAAATATAACAAAACAAATGTTTAAAATATTATTTTGTTTAATTAGTAAACTTCAATTTTAGCAGCAATTGTTTAAAAAAAAATGCAAAGAAAAGTCTCTAACAATAAATTACAAGAAAAAGAATATCTATGCCTATTGGTTCTTTTGTTTTGCTTAGAACATAATTTGTCTTAGAATTTGGCTTGCAAACTTTAAAATCAACTATTAAAATGTGACACTACTTTCTCCTGTTAATTGCTTCTGGTGTATTTAGAAAGAAAAAAGTGCTTCACATGTAGCAGGTACAATGGGTGATTTGAGGAAGTGGTAAACAAAATTCACCTTTATTAGCATTCAAAGCCATGACTGCAATGAAATGTGGGTACCCTTAGACAAGTTCCACGTCCATGAAGGCGTATGAGGATGTTCCCTTCGGCGAAGCCTAGCACAGCCCTCCCGCATATTCATCTTCCTCCTCGGCAGCAGGGGCAGTGGTGCCTTCAGGCTTGGCCTCCGGTGTTGCTGCGGCTTTCTTCTTGATTCCTCCTCCTGGGACCACCAAAGTCAGGCCCAGCTTAGCATACTGTCAATGACAAAGCAATGTCTCAAAAGCTGGGTAACTAGAATCTACGCATGTAATGTCTCAACAAAAGGCAGATCCTAGCTTTCTACCTCATGAAAACCAACACTACCAGTTAGATCAGCCGTTCTCAACCTGTGGGTCACGACCCCTTTGGGGGTCGAACGACCCTTTCACAGGGGTCACCTAAGACCATCGGAAAACACATATATAATTACAGATTGTTTTTGTGATTAATCACTATGCTTTAATTATGTTCAATTTGTAACAATGAAATTGGAGGTCACCACAACATAAGGAACTGTATTAAAGGGTCGCAGCATTAGGAAGGTTGAGAACCACTGATTTAGATGGAAAAACAACCACAGGAAAACTCAACATTGCTCTGCCTCAGATGGCTTACAAACCATAATGTGACAGGTACACAACTAGCACAAATGTCAATTATACACTTAGGAATATGAGATAATCGGGACATGGTGAGTTAAGTAATACTTATGGTTCCTATGAAATAAAGTCTTTGAGTAAATGAAGAGTGTAAGCTATGGACAAATTTTTAAAAAATATTTGCAAATTCACAAAAGCCTATTAAGAATTTATCGAGAGAAATAAAGGTTTCTCTATATACATTGTGATAAAAAATTGAAGATCTTAAGCTGATCTGATACCATAAGACTAAAGTTGCAAAACGAAATCAAGTAAACTGGTGCTACCCAGCTTGCGGGGCTCAGGGGTTGAGCATTGACCTGTGAACCAGGAGGTCACGGTTCGATTCCGGATCAGGGCACATGCCTGCGTTGCAGGCTCGATCCCCAGTGTGGGGTGTGCAGGAGGCAGCCGATCAATGATTCTCTCTCATCACTGATGTTTCTCTCTCTCTCCCTTCCTCTCTGAAATCAATAAAAATATATTTTAAAAAATTGGTGCTCACCAATCTACTGAAAAGGGAAATCTGAAAGAAGAGAAGCCTACTGTCATGGCTCACATCTGTACATGGCAGCACATGAGGCTGTTTTTGGAACACAGTCCAATCTACTCATCACCATAGGTTGGCAAGACAGAGACCAGTCTCTCCATTTCTCCAGATGAGAGAACTGAGGCTTACAGATAGTTAACTAATAACCTGCATCACACAGTTAGTCGTCACTGAAGTGGAATTCCAACAAGTCTACTGAATTACAGGCCACTACACGATGGGTCTCTTTCAGACAGTGAGTCTGGAAGAACTTTAAAAACTAAGCAACCTATAGAAGCCAACAAATGAAAGAAGCTGGAAAAATGGGGCTGAATTAAAAAACATATAAATGGTCAACACAGACAGAGAAATAACTGGCTGTAAACTTATATGGTTGACATTCAAACAACCCAAACCCATAATGAAAAAGTGCAAATGCGAAATGAGAAGTATCTTGAGGTAAAAAATAGGAGAAAAATCTCAAAGTCCATAAGAGAGAGAACCTTGTTGGAAGCCTCTTCCATTCGAGAGGAAAGAAGCTAAGGCGAAGGCCACTCACATCATTGTCCATGTACTTGAAGAGGGGCGAGTTGCAGACCTCTGACACTTGATCTTGGTCTTGCTGGTCATAGCCCTCCAGCAGCTGTTCCAGGGCAGCACAGTCTTCACTCCCATTGAACCCTGGAATGCTACAGCAAGCACAAGTCACACAGCTCTACCTGCCCCTCTCAAACAGGTGCATCTGCCCCCAGCAGAGGTTTGGCAATATCTGGAGACGTTTTTACTTGTTACAAGTGGGCAGAGGTCAGGGACGATGCTAGATAGCCTACAGTGCACAGGACAGGCCTGGCAACAAAGAATCACACAGCCCCAAGTCGACCGTGCCCAGATGGAGACTGCTCATTTAAACATCTCTGACGGGAAAACCCCTTATTCAGATCTTCCTGTCACATACGTTCTGAAAACTTTCCTTTTTGTGTTGTTGTTCTTTTTTTCTTAGAATGCAAATATAATAAAATCATCCATGTCATTCACCTCCATGGAAGTCCCCAGGAGAAAAACACAAGAAAGAACATAACTTGTAAAAATCCTGCTGGAAAAGCTGAAATAGTAGTCAAGTGCTTCTGTCACTATGAAATTTATTTATTTATTTTTTTTAAAAAAAACCATCCAGTTTCACAGCCAGGATTATTGTCTAAGCAGTCACCTCAAACTAACAGAAATGTGGACGTTCCAAGTCAGGACAGCGCAGTCAGCGCCTTACCTGTAGCTCTCCCTGACACATCTTTCCGCAGCCACGTAGTCATTTCTGTGAAGGTGAACTAAGACTTGAGCAATTGTTTTCTAAAACAAAAGATGTGATTATGGTCCAAATTTGTATCTACTTAATAAATTTAATTTCCTGACACCTAGAATTTAACTTTCAGAGTTTTGGTTTTATATAGAAAGATTTAAAATTTCTGCAGTGATTTCCACAGGACATCTGAGGAAAAATATACCGAAGTAGACATCTCAAACTCTGCTGTGCACACAAACGACCCCGGGGTCTTGTTAAAATGAAGACTTTGAGTCAGTGGGCCCACAGCAAGCCTGAGACCCTGCTGTTACCAACAAGCGCCCCGATGGCCCTGGTACTGCTGGTCTGAGGACCGCAGAGTAATAAAAAAGCCTTAGACACCACCTCACATTTTAAAGAAAGTTTCTTTTAAAAACCTATATAGGTTTAATCTTGAAAAGGGAATTAAAAAGAATGGGGGGCATAACTCTACTATTATACTTTGGAATTCTTAAAGAGATACTAGGAAAAACTTTAGATAACAGAAACAATGATACCATTTATAAGCCAAGGAAAGTATTAATAAGATTAAAGGTGTGACTGATATCTTCTTGGCAAAATAGCTCTTCAATATTTTATCTCTATTTTTCAGATAACTTTTATTGATCTGCCTACAAGTTCCTTGAATTTTTTCATCTCAAGTGTCATATTAAGTCCATCTAGTATTTTATTTCAGATACAGCTATTTTGGTTTCTCATTTGCTTCATTTTTATAGTTTCTATTTAAAAAGCGCTATCTCCCATTCATTCACCTGTGTTTACCTTTGGCTCACTCGCAATTATGATAGTTGCTGCAAAGCCCTGATCTGATCATCCCAACACCAGGCCATGCGTGGGTGCGCATCAGTTGCCTTTCCCTTGAAAACTGGTCCTACTGTCCTGGTTCTTCCGTGCTCAGTCGTTTGGGACTGCACCCTGGACACTGTGACTGTTATGCAGACTCGCCTATCATTCCCGGGAGAGTTGGGTGCTTCCAGCAGGCAGTCACCTAGTCAGGCTCAGACTGCATTTTTGTCTGCTTTTGGTGGGCAGTGGCTCTAGTCTTCGTTCAGTCCCTCAGCTCTGCTGGTGGGCTCTGCCCCACGCATGAGCCTGGCAAGGGTGCTATGAGCCCTGGATAGTGTTTTAATCTTACTGCAGTTCTCAAAGCCTACGTTCTGCCTCTGGGTCTGTCCTGCACAGGCCCAGCTGGAGAGTAAACCCAAGACCTGCGTGGCCCCCCCCCCCCCCCCCACACAGTCAGGGGATTCCCTGTTCCAGCTCCCCTTTCTGGGGTTTTCTCCTTGCTCTCTTAGCTCATCTTCCCAGTTCCTCTGGCCAGAGATTAGGTTTCCACTGGCGTTTTAACCGGCCTGTGCCACCACCACAGCCGTAGCTCCATGACTAGGTCTTCCCCACAGAGCAAAGCCAAGGGAGGGAAAAAGAGGAAAAACAGGGAGCCTTTTTTCTAACCAGAGAAATCCAGTGCCTCTGGTTAGAAAGATGTGGTCGGTGGGTTCTTTAGGCGTTGCAGCTGCTGGAGCCTCTGTGGCCCAGCTCCATGACCGGGGCTCCTAAGCCAATGCCACAAGAGGAAACAGGAAAAAATCCTGGAAACGCATTCCTCTATTGGTTGCTTCTGCAAGTGTTTACTTTTCTCCATCAATCTGTTCTATTTACTTTTCAAAGTAATTGCTTTTTTTTGTATTTTGTCTGGAAGTTTTAGTTGTAATCAATAGGAGAGAGGCTGCAGTAGGCTTATTCCATCTTGGTCAAATAGAGAGTCCCAGAAAGCATTATTTAAAAAAATAGACAAATATCCATGGAATCTGGTTATAGGTACATATTTACACCAATATGAAAAATTATGTCATGTAAAGCCAAAAATAAGCGCTTTCAAAATATACCTTATAACAAGTTGGGTAATTCTCAATTTCCTTATAAATATTTTTTTCTTTCTGAATAGAGAGTGCCGCCTCATCAAACCTAAAAACAAAAACAAAGAAATGTCAAACAAGGCAGGTCTCAATGATCTACAGCAGAAGCCATTCTTATAATGTATTTGATAGTACCGTTTTTAGAGAAATAAAGAAGATAACAGGCATTTTGGCAACTGCTCCATTTCCATGAGCTCTACTCATATGGCTTCTTTTAAATGCTCGCCCTGCCCTTTTAGGCATCAAGCAGACAGTCAAAGCAAGAGAAGGTTAGATAGGTTACTTCAAATGGAGAGTTTTAAGTCTGGTAAGGATCATTCATTAATCAGCATCTATCAAATTCAACAAACTACTTTATGACTGCTTATGAAATGTCTTAGAGAGAGACAACCCTCAATTTAATCACCCCAGATTTCTTTCCTTCCACCGAAAGGCCATCCAGATGCCCTGAGAGCACCGCCTCCCGCTGAAGAACCACTTCTCCCACTCCGCCCTCACTGTCCATGCTCACTGCTGCCTCTGTGACCCCAACAACACCCAGTGCTGAAAAGGGCAGCAGTGGAGAGCAGTCGACACTAGAAAAATCCTTCTGCCTCCTTTGATCCTCAACATTCATCTTTTTCTGTCTACTCTCACACATTTTCCTTTTCTTCCATCCCATTCACATGGCAGTGTAGAGGAAGGTATCACCAAAAATCTTCCTCTGAGGCCCCATCCCTTTCTTTCCTCCCCAATCCTAATCCATCAAACCCTAGCAAAGCTATATTAGACAGGGGTTGGCAAAAGTAGGTGTACAGTTGTGAGTGCCTGAAACAGAGTTTATTCTTGCATTATTATTTATTTATTTATTATTGCAGTATTTGTGTTATTTGTCTTATTATTATTTCATATCCTTATTTATGATTTATCTTTCAGGTAATGATGACTGGTACTTTAACCTACTTTTGCCCACCCCTGTACTCCTAATTCCAGTACTCCCTTACTAACATTGAACTTGTGACTGGGTGAATTTAAGTCTTCACCTATTTCTCCCATCCCAACAGCCAAAAAGAGGAAGCAGTCTGCACTGTGAGGATAATAGAGAGAGAAAGGTGTTGCTATGACTCAAAAGTACAAAAACATTATACTGTATTTTTCTGTGCCAATCATTACTTTTAAAAAATATTTACATACAAAAAGATACACAGTGCCTTGGTTTAACTCACATTATGAATGTGAATTTTTGTGGGCTGTGCCCTGTCAGGTTGCTGCCTCATAAAGTGAGACTCATTAGAGAAATGTATTCTGAATTTCTAAAGATCAACTTGCTAAATTGTGGGACCAAAGCTGGTTTATAAGTTGGCCATGGTAGCAGAATTCTAGGTCATGTATTTAAAGGATAAAAAAAAGTAAAACCCTATTTAATGACACTATTTGGCTATCAAAAAGCTGTCCATTTTCATGGGGAAGCATTCAGGGCATCTTGTTATTTATGCCTGTATGGATATTTCTCCTTAAAAGACAGACATTATAATCTAATCAAATATCAGATCAAGAAAACTGCTCTCTTTCATGCTGCTGAGCCAATAAGAATACAATGCATGACACTTTTTGAGATTACACCTTAGAAAAACAGATCTTTTAATATTTTTTTAAATATATTTTATTGATTTCTTACAGAGAGGAAGGGAGAGGGATAGAGAGTTAGAAACATCGATGAGAGAGAAACATTGATCAGGTGCCTCCTGCACACTCCCCACTGGGGATATGCCCGCAACCAAGGTACATGCCCTTGACCGAAATCAAACCTGGGACCCTTGAGTCTGCAGGCTGACACTCTATCCACTGAGCCAAATCGGTTAGGGCAGATCTTTTGATATTTAACTCAATATGTCATCTTACAGCCATCAATATTTATTGGGTCCATGACTCACACCAAAAAGCTTAACAAGCTGTTCCCAAAATTAATTAACAGTTCCAACATGAACTAAAGGTAACATGAACTAAAGGTATACACAGTCACACATGAACACAGTTTTGGAAAACTCACCTGCGTCCTCGTACTAGCAGTCTGGAGGCTTTTCCTAGTAATTCAACTGCCTGTCGTAAACGTTCCTCATTCTACAGGAATCAAACAAAAGAGAGTGTTGGCAGCTTCAATGCAGGAATCTTTGTTCCCTCCAATAATTACCTAATAAAAAAGTAATGGCACTCAATATGGGGGTGAGGGGGTGGTGTTGAGAGGGCGACACCAAAGCTGCTGGTCCATTTCATCACTCTCTAATAGAGACAAACAGAGTTCATCTGGGAGCACAGAAAAGGTTTAAAAAGTAGCTGCTGCATTTCTCTATTTACATATTATGAATCTAAACATTCTAAGGGTATTTAAAGAAAAAGAAATAAAATTCAAACTTACTTCAAACACATTAGCTGTCTGTTGGTATAACTGTACTGCCTTTTCTGGATTTACATTTTCTATAAGCCTAAATTAGACAAGAAAAATTGACTCACGTGAGAAATGGAAAACTTGTTTTTCAAAGGATTTTATTAGAACAAAAAGATGATGACTCTATGCAGAGCCTGTTGCGCACACTCACTTTCCAGCTCGCTCCAAGGCCATGGCTGCTGTGTCGGGGGTGCCATTTTCCAGATACATCATGCTGGCTTTTTCAATCAGCTGGACAGCCTGTGGGAGTTGCTGCATCTCCTTTAGGCAAAGGACAGAGCGTGATCAGTAAATGCATCAACTTAAAAATGCAAAGTTAACCTGAAATTCAATTATTTTACTCCTGATTCATAAAAGTAAATGACTCAAACTTTATACAATAAAATATACTTAAAATGAAATGTCTTCAACATGGTTACTCTTCCCATCAGGATTCATTTAGCCAAACCAAATATGTATCAGTTAATTTCTACACAGAATTCATCATCACTTCACAGAATTTCAGGGAAACTATACAAATAAATTTGCTCTTTACTGTTTTGTAAGCATTCAAACCCCTTTTAACATCTACTGAGTCCCTACTATACACAAGGCCTATGCCAAAGGTGGCAAACTGCATCCCAAGGGCTGCATCTTATTTCCAAGTGCGTCTTATTTGAACCATTCAGTATTTTTAAATCAAATAATTTCATAAAAGTTGTTTCATGACTTTCTACGTTAAAAAAATATCAAAGGCTATGGCATCAGCCAGCTTACATTCCCACACGGCCATAATATGCTGGGGCTGAGCAGCAGCTGTCCTGATGGAGGAATATTAACTCCTGTAGCCTCAATTCTCCCCATTTCCTACTGCCCTACACACCCAGGCACCTCCTCCGTTTCAGTCATTCCATTATGCCCTGAGTTCATCTGAGTTTGCAACCACCTTCCATGCTGAATGCCATCAACAGCATACTTTGAGGGTCAGTGTCATAAGGTAATATGTTCTGTTGCACAACAGAATATTATTTTCCAACCTGTGTTTAAGAAGCAGAAATATAAAAAGAGGCATAGCCACACTAGCCAAAATAGTTCATTCAAGAAGAATCAGTTAAACAGCAACAGCTTAAGTCTTCTCTTCAATTGCAACTGATATATGTAAAACAAGCAAAAATCTCTCCTCTCTATAACCCATGGGCAGTAAAAAATATGTCCTTGTACACTTTTACTACATTAAGCTGTTGTAAATTTCTCAAAAGTAGGGGAACCTCCCACATAGCTCTGTTTAGCTTAGCGATACATCTCTCCTGGTTACAAAGCCTAGAACCTTGGGATTCCCAGTTTCCTCCAACATATTCTCTCTTAAATTTCACTTTTAGAAATTCCTATTTTATGACACACACATTTTACCTTGTAGGCCCAATTAACATTGCTTTGGACATCTGTCGCCTTACAAGGAGACTTTTCAACTTCAACACAAATTTACTTCCACACCATGCAGTTAATTCATTTTAGTTATATGACAGTTGTGACAGACATTACTGACCTTCAACATCATGCCAGCTTGCTCATAAGCTCTGCAAAGAGAATATAATTCCCCGGATGAGATCTTAATGAAATAGGAGGAGGAGAAACCTTCTACTACAGATAAAGGAAGTTATTTCACTTTTTAAAAAATATATTTTTACTGATTTCAGAGAGGAAGGGAGAGAGAGATAGGAACATCAATGATGAGAGAATCATTGATTGGCTGCCTCCTACACATCCTCCACTGGGGATTGAGCCCGAAACCTGGGCATGTGCCCTGGACTGGAATCGAACCTGGGACCCTTCAGTCCTCAGTCCGATGCTCTATCCATTGAGCCAAACCAGCTAGGGCACTTATCTCATCACTTTTAACTGGCTTAGGCACTACACATTACTTTAGGCTTGTATTAACACACAACGTGTTTTTTTTTCTTTTTATTTTCACAGACAATACTGCCTTAGAAACATCAGGCATCTAAAATAAAGGGTTTTTATTTTGCAGATGCAAAATTAAGTATGATACAGAATGGGTAAGTGAGCTTCTATTTGACAAGTCTAAATCCAAGTTTTCAAACAAGTACTCTCCACAAAAGCAGGAGAAAGCTTCCTACTTTTCTCCATAGACACTATTAACTACCAAGAAAGAGGGAAACAAATAAATTGTAACTTACTTGGTTTTTCATAAGTTACTGAACAAAATGGTCCTAAAAATACCGAGGTGAATTTAATTGAAACATTGTGTATCTTAGGAGAGCTTAGTTTTTAAGGTTCAGGTGAAGACTAAAACAAATGAAAATGATTTTTACTTAAAATAATCCACTATTTACAAGTTTATAATTTAGGAAAAATTTACTGACCTATGGAAAAACATTTAAAACATAATAATCTGCAAACACATGAAAACGTGAGAAAATATTTACTTACTTGGCAGCATGGAAAAGACTGAATGGATGTAACAAAGTCAAAATTAAGGAAAAAAAGCAAACCAAGCATTTCTAAGTATTTACTATTTAAAAGACAAAGGTAACTAAATCATTGCCTTAGTTGTGATCCAAAAGGCAAATCCTACAAACAGGTAAAGAAGAAATAATTTAGTGCCTACTAATGTCTCTTAAAACTACATAATCCACAAGAACACCACATAGATTTTAAACTAGTTCCGTTATGCATTAATCTGAAGAGTTTTACTAACATTCAAGGTTATTATAACCATAATATTAGCTAGTGAGACAAATTTAACATTTTCAGTATAAGTTTTAAATAACTTCAGGAAAACGTATTGTTTTGAACTACTTATAAATGGTATTTCAAACGCCCGAGAAAGACTATATTTTAAAAATATTTACATAGTAGTTATCCATCTCCAGTGCCTGTCCTGCCTCTTCATTCTTCAGTGCCTGTCTACAGACTTTCCTTACCTCATCCCAAATAAAACCACCATCAAGCAAATCCAGAAAAAAAAGGAAATAAACTCTCAAATGTAGCTCTGCAAAGCAGTATGAACCTTATGATCAGAAGTCTCTATAATGCTCCTTCAGAGTTTAAATATGCAGAACTTTTCTAACCGTTTTCTAATTTAATAGCATTGCACTCCACATGTAGCAAATTTGTCAAAGTTATCGAATTGTTAAGTCCTTTTTAAAGGCTGAAAAAGATACGCCCTGTTATTCTCATGGGCCACAGCTTCTCTCAGGCAGGCATCTTTTGCTTGGTCAAACTGTTTGGCATTCTTAAAAGCAAGAGCTGAAATAAAACAACACAAAGACTTTCTATTTCCACCACTTAAAATTTTCAAATGAATCATTACCAAAATCTGCATCATATGTAAAGTACTGGAAAACATGTGTACTTATTTTAATCAACTACTTAGGAAGTTCCACAAAACTATAAAGTACTACTTTTTCTAAAGCAATTTTCTTACCACTTTTTGGATGATCAATAACTTAGAAGTATTTTCAAAAGTTGTTTTAATTGTACACTGTTTGCTAAAAATCAGTGCTACTTCCACCCAAAACTAAGAAGTCTTTCTAATACCAATATCTAAGCTTTGAGAACTTAAGATCGTATCAGCCAAACCAATGCTCCCAAATAAGAGGTACTATCACAAAAAACAGTACCTTACTTCACCAGTCTTACATTTAATAATAGTAATTTAAAAAAACAGTGCTTCAGTTATAACTTATTCCATCTTTTGAATTATTTAGAAACAATGAAAGCGTAACATGCTAATTAGACCAGACAGCCAAACGACCTTCCGGATGTCCTTCCAGACGAAGCCAGGGCTGCTAGGGCCGAGACAAGCCGCCACAGTTGCAAGGGCTGAGCCACTTGCATGAATTTCATGCATTGGGCCTCTAGTTTAGAAATAAAAACCAATAAGCACATTAAATCTATACTAATAAAAGAGTAATATGCTAATTAGGGCAGACGTCTTCCAGACAAAGCCACAGCAGCTGCTTGAGGCTCAGGCAGGCTGTGGATGGAGGCTGCCACTGAGAGGGCCCAAGGCTCAGGCAACGAGGGCCGGGCAGAGGCTCAGGCAGCCGCAAGGGCCGGCAGTGGCAGCAGCAGAGGCATTATGGGGTTGCCCTGATTGGTCGGTTGCCTCCCACAGAGGGAGGCCAGACTGCATCAGCAGGTCATCCCCTGAGAGCTCCCGTACTATGAGAGGGAGCAGGCCAGGCTGAGGGACCCCCCAGTGCACGAATTTTCATACACTGGGCCTCTAGTGTTTTTATAATAAGCCTTCCTCTTTGGAACAATCTTTAAATAAATTTCTAAAAAATTAAAACTGCATTTTTCAAAAATAAAGCTTTTGCACTGTTTAAGTTTCTGTGGGGGGAAAAAATCTCAATATCCAAAATGTTAAAATACATTGCTCATTGTTGTAAAATGTCATCATCAGAGCAAAACAATGAGGACTAGCCCTAAAATATGATGCTGCAGATTTGGTAAACTTACCAAAGGTTGCTTACAAATATGTAAAAAGGATACAACTTTAAGAAAAAAGTTATTTGTTAAAAATGCATTCTTAAAATTCTCTTTAATAAAATATTGAAAATAAACTACTAAAACTAATTCCCTATGTGAATTTCCACGTTTATTCTGATTTTAAATGTATTATGCATAAGCCCTTAAAGAAAATAAATGAAAACTTTAATGGGAAAATCTGACCCGAAATATTTATTTTTGAAAGCAGCTGATCGTCTCAGATGTATATACAACAAATCTGTGTCAAATTTCCCTCATGGAAATTTGCAAAATGTTGTGCCCTCAAGTTACAAAGTGTTCATAAAATCCATATAAAGTATGAACTGTTAATAATTTTCCCCTTAAATATGATATATAAATATGAGCGAGAATTTACTCAGGGTTTAAATAAAAGGGCTAAAGACTCATTTGTTGTCATTTCTTTTATTATCTAGAAAGTAACACGTATTGTACTGATTAGCTTCAATTTCTCCAATTTCTTTTTTCTTTGGTGATATGCTAGGATAACAAAAGGGATCAGGTCTGTCACTGAAACACAACTGTAAATGTATTCTGGGCACTTCAAATTGTACCTTTATATCCAAAATAATCACAAATATGCTGAAAGCTCTCATTCCATAATTTAAAATGCTAAAGTTTTAGCAAAGCCCCTGTCTGTCCCACATTTCAAATCATTTTTATCTTACAGAAGATAAATATATTCTAATATTTATGTAGCTTAACACTCATGAATGTTTATCACTGTTTCTCAAAATGAAGCTCATAAAAAAAAAACACACTGCTGTCAAATACATGATTTTAGATCTTCTTATAAGGCTAGTTAAAAAAATTTAACAAACAAAAGTTTTTATTCAATAACAGGAAGTGTAATAAAGGGGTATGGCAAAACTACTAGAAATAATATGCAACTGAATGAAGTTTAAGTATAAACAATGCTAAAAACCTGCAGCTAGGTTCTGCCAATCCTACTCACCTCCCTTGTCACGAGAGGCAGAATTATGGAGATCTCTGACTCAGCCTCCACACATTTGAAAATAATGATGTAAAAAATGCCAGGGCATGGGCAGGTTGTTGTTGCTGTTTAACTATTAGAATCTTATAGGAAGCATTAGGAGTAAGTATTATGCTGAGAGGAAGCTATCAGCCTACTTAAAGATTACACTTTGGAGTTACTGGGCCACAGTCACACATACCTGCTTTTCCATATTCAGAAGCAGCACTGTCATAATCTGGCTTCCATTTTAATAAACCAGTTTTAAGGCTAAAATGAAAGAAAGGCATATATCTTAGAAGTTACCAAACACATTTATAAGTCAAAATTCTGCTTGTAATGACTTCACAGGTCATTAAAAAATAGGGGGAGGAGCCAGCAGGTAACAAGTCTGGCTCCTTTAGACCATCTCCATCCAACTGATTTATAATTTAATACAACCTCACCATTTCCCTTCTCACTGCCAAAGACATGGTTTCCCTCCTTTTGAAATACCTGCATAACTCCAACTATAGCAGACTCTCAGTGCATGGTCCCTACGCCAGCTGGAAATGTTCCAGAAAAGTAAATTATTGAGCCCCATACCAGACCCATGGAACCAAAAACTCTGGAAGTGCAGCAAAAACCCAGGGTGTAACAAGCCCTGAGGCACACTAAAGCTTGAAGCCTGCTAAAGGACAGACTCAAGTAAACGCTCAGAGTTGTGTGACTGAAGCTCAGGAGAGGACAGAGAGATTAAATGAGAATGCTACATGCTACACCCAGGGTCCAGTTTGGATGCCCTAGGGAGAGGGCAGAATACAAACATTCAGACGAACAACAGAGGGAGTCACCAGTGAACGGGAAGAAGAACCAGAAAGACAGGGATGTTATGAAAACCAGAGATGCTGCTTTCAAGGATCACCAATGGCTTCTCAGATGCTAAACCAAAGGACCATCAATTCTGAGTCTTTACCTTACTTGCCATTTCTGCAATATGTTATTTTCTTGCTTTAATTTAAAATAATTTCATATTTCCAGTTTAAATTAAC